TGCAAATGCGTCAAAATTCTTCGAGCCCTGTATCAAGGATACAAAACTAAGACTACAAGCATGTGCATTTACAATTTATGAGATCCACTTTTTAAGGGGTTTTATATAGTCAATTTAAATAAAATTTTAAGTAAATTGGAAATTGAAGATTCCTCACCACCCGTGTATTACCTATGAAAATGGTTTTGCATGGAACTAACTTACAAAAATGTATTCAGTGAATAGTCACTATCCAAAGTAGCCTTATAAAATTTCTACCTGAAATATATATAAGGAAGTAATAAATGTATGTATGTTGTGGTTGTAGCATTTCAATTTCTTTTTAATTTAAAGGGAATCCAACTTATTCATTTAAAAGATTTATTTATTAATTTTTTGTTTCTTGTATTAATAGTATTAAATCAGTATCTAAGGGCTTCAGCCCCCCCCCCCAAATCTCAAACGCTATTTGCGCCTATGATTAATACAAACAAATAAAAACGAAACGACATAGACAAAGTTTTCTTCTATGGAGTATGAACATTTGATAAATCTACTGTACATAGGTAGTGTAAATAATATGCATGTTTCGACGATGCAGTTTTGAGCAATCTGGTTACCAGTTTAGCTCACTTAGTTTTAGACAGTTTAAGCTAGTTTGTTCGCTCAAACCAGTGAACAATTTGCTCAAACGGCATCGCTAAAACATGTCTTGTGTACTTGCAAATTCATTCCATAGGAATCCCTTTTACCATCGTATAATTTCATTATTATGTAACGAGTAACAACTATTATTAGTTATATGGAACCACTTTAACAATTTAAATCCTTCTTCAATATATCATTGCATCATTTGTCTATATTGAACTCCTTAAAAACTTAATAATATAATGTTTTGAATCGTCAGAATTTCGAACCTAGGAGACTTTGATAAAATGAACTGATCGGTGAAAATTAATTAAGTGATGCATATAATATTTTTAAATTACAGTAAAATTACTTAGATCGTAATTTTTTGTTTAAATTTTAAATTTCGTCTAAACCCAAACTTAAAAGATCAATAAAAAAATAAGTGGATGTCGCTCTGCTGTAAATTAGCCTGTCACCACTCGTTATTAGCTGGTCGGTTTTAAAACTTTTTTGATTTTTAATTTAGTATAATGGATTTATTGGATTTTATAATTATCGATAGTAATAAGGAGGCAAGTGTTTATTACTTGACAATTTTAAGTACAGAAAATTTAATTTTTAAAATATGTTGTGAGTAGATTCATCCAGCCAATCAAACTTCGGAATTGTTTACATTATTTTTACACTTGG